ATCAAGGTACGTAATCTGCGACACTGACTGCCAGTCAGCAGCCTTGGTGGAACGTGATGGACCATCAGACGTCATCTGATGGTCCATCAGATGACGTCTGACTGCCACTGCCAAGGGAATTTAATCAACAAGGGTAGCATTTATATAAGAGTAAAGCTATACGCACTCATAAATATCGCCAAATGCCTCAATAAAACAAGATGTTCGAGAAAAAAAAAAAAAAAAGCAGGACTACCGGGCATCGAACCCGCGACCACTTGCGTGCATATCGGGAACCCTAACCGCTATGCTATGCCACCGCTTCGGAAACTCGCTTTGACTATTCATTTTATACGTGTTGCTTCGGCTGCAAATGCAGTTAAGCCGTCCGCATGTTATGCAAAGCACTCGTACATCACTCGCCGTACTTCAGTTCTACTCACCTGCCCTGTAGAGTACTTTCGCGTCGTAGAACGATCCTTCTGTTCGCGCGTCACCGGCCGAGTAGACCTGGTACACCTTGTCTTCAACTACACCGCTAAAGTCCCTTACATCATCGGAACTCACAACAGGCTGGGTCTTGTCGAGTAGAAATTCCACTAAAACATAAGACATTGTAGAGCCCGGGCAGGATCGACAGGTTGGAGCGAGCGGGCAAACAAAACGAGTCGAGAGCGATCGTTCATGAAAGGTCGGCGAAGCCTCTATGGGCGAAGCGAAGTCAGCGAAGTGTCGTGTTCGGCCCTTGTGTTCGGCGCTTCGGCGGGCTTCTGATCAATGTTGTCGGTCGGTTGCGTGTCATATCTCTAACGTCAGCGGTTTTATGGGCTCACGTCCCGAAATCGTTTTCTCGTGCATAGATTACTTTTCGTATTCATAGATTTGACGAAATAGTGGTATCCGAACGAACTTTACGTCCTCTGACCGTACGTCTGTCTGCACGTCAAAGCTTTTTGACGTACAGTCAGAGACAATCGATGTACAGTCAGAATCGCCACCAAGACATCCTGATGGCATTTCGCGGCGGCCAACTTCCACCAGGAAACCATCAGAAAGCCGACAAGCGGAGTCTGACTGGAGTTTGACTGTCGGTCAGAGTAACTTGTTGGCCAATCAGACATGCTTAACGTACAGTCAGGCACAGTCAGCGGTCCACTAGAAAACATTGACTGCCAAACAGGGTTACATTGATGGATTTTTCCTTCGGGTTTTTAGGAGCATTTCCCGTTCTGTTGGTGTCAGGTCACTGAACAGGAGCCCGAATTTGCTCGCAAAAGCGGCATTGCCGCTTTCGCGAGCAATGCCGATTTCGCGAGCATTGTTGGTCCGACGAAACGACCGCGCCACCGCGCTGCTATAACCCACCGCGGTAACCAGAGTCTCGACGCCCTAAATGCTACCGGTACCGACAATTCACATGTGACGTCACTCCCTACGTCACCTCCGTTTTCGGTGGCCCAAAAACGAGAAACGCAGATAGTTCAGTTTCGGTTTCTTCAGTTCTTTCGTAGGTACAGAAATACGCGTCACAGATGCCTATAAAAATTGGGCAGTATGCCAGGTTCCCAAGAAGCCTACAAACACTATTTGAAAAAAATTAATAAAATCGCCTTCATTGTCCCTTTAAAGGAGCTGTGCAACAATTTTTGTACTTTGCGCAAATACCGCTTAGAACGGATCCCTGACATTAGAGAGTTTTAGCTTACCGCGTACCGGGCGACCGCCGGGGTTACCGCGACCGCGACCATCGATCCGGTACCGGACCGAGAGCGTAGCGGGTAAAGAACGTTTTAGCATACCGTAACCTCGCCTGACCACGCCTATGGAAGTTTCTTCTTTCTCCAACGGCTGGAAAAAGTCATGATGATGATAGTGAATACCGGCGTGGTTCGTTTTTAAAGCGGTACATTTATTTGGACAAATGCCGCATAAAAAGCCACTTTTAAAAAATATTTTCCTCATTACGAGTAGTTATAGTGGTACTTCCTTGGTATACGACCAAGTAACTTAATTTGTCAGCTAAGCTGTTGGATACTGGTCGCGCTTCGCCCGGTTGGAAAATGGTGCTGCATTGACGGCCTCTTGCAAAAGACATATATCATCGAACGCGCTGAAACGCATTCTCAAAACAGGCGCAGGGCCACATACTACCTTCTCACTACGCGCCATTGCCATGATCGCTAAGACGCTGCAGTCTAGCCTTGGCTAGCTTGCTAAGAAATTGCAATGTAATGTTGGATCCTCTACTTTTCTTTCATATATTTGTTTGTTCCCTGTGATAAAAAAACAAAAAACATGCGGTTACTTGAAGATATTTGTGGCAACTGGTAATTTATTGGAGCCCGCAAATGAATAGAAAGCTTATTGGAACGAATGCAAGCCAAAAGAAAAAGTGAAATTGGTCGTTGTGTGAATATTTACACAGGGTGAGGTTAGTCTGCCTGAATTTGGCGATACTGTTTCTTCGCTGTAGATGGGCAGTGTGGCCAGTGCGGTACGACCGAAAACCTGGAGTCTTTAACGTGCACCACCAGTCATGGTTATACGAACGCAGCCGGTACGATGCCCGTCCAGATCGAACCGGGCAGGGACGGGGATTTGAACCCAGTGCTCTGAGTTCTGCAGCGCGAGGTTTCGCGACACGTGCTCCGAGCTGTGGTGCGTTAGCCCACTCGGCCACCGTTCTCCCACGAATGCAAGCAAACAGCATCATCCTGTACGCTGCTTGTTTGCATTCGCAGCTCCATTGCTATCAGCACCAGTCTCTAATGTCGGTTAGGTGGCTCAGGTTGCCGCCCGAAACAAGGGGCATAGCAGTTACCATCCGTCTATTCAACCGGCCTGTCCGGCGGCCATGGAAGCCCGGATTTTTGCTATGGACCTCGGGTAGGCGAAAGCCTTTATAAGCCAACCAGAGCCGCTTCACTTGCCCTTTCCCATGTTTTGTGGTGCGACGATTGTTTCTAGACGCCTCCCCCGCCATTCCAAAACAGTAAGTGATTAGTCTACGCCGGCCGTCGGAGCCGATGCCCGGCAGTCGCCATTGACGGTAAACGCGGTAAACCGAGTAGCGTGGCATAATTGGCGCATGCGCAGTTCTGCAGTGACGGTCGCGGTAACCCCCCGGTCGCCCGGTAGGCGGTAAGCTAATACTCTCTATTAATGACCTATGAAACACGCGTTCGTTTTTCACCCCACGCAATAGAAGTCCCAGAAAAAAAAATTAAAGAAAAACGAGCAGCGTTCACCCCCTCAACTCGCAGCCAGAACAAGCGGCCACCTGATCTGGAGCCGATTATATGCCGCCAGTGTTGATCATAGCCACGCGCTGGGGTTGGCAAAGCGCAAGACACGCGCTGAGTTCCAGATATTGTTATGGCTCGGCTATGGTCGTCGTTGCAGCGATTGGGCACGGCCCACTACCCGAATGCTTCTCGAGCTAGTAATTATCACGAGCCCAAATCGAGTGCCCACGCAATGCTCGGGTCCAATCTATGAACAGCATTCGAATATCGTCACTTGGGAATATTGCGATCCCCACGTTACATCATCAAATTTTGCAAAGGAGAGATGAAATAAAAATGATCGCTTTTGTCCTTCAAATTACACCGCAACAAAGGAGTTTCTTGGCCAGCGGCGTTGCCTGCGAGTAACCTGAACTCCCACTAGTGCCAGTAAGCTTGTGTATAGTGAAAAACATTCCACCTGAATATCGTTGCACAGCCCCTTTAAGTTTAAGTGTATGACGTACTGCATGGCGAAAACCCGGTAGCGCGCGGTTTTGTGTCCCCCTTTTCTCGTACAAAGCAGATCGCTGATGATTTCCTCTACATAGGCCTACTGATCATGAGCAGGTATGCCAGACATAAGACAATTGCGAAATGCTTGACATAATTTTATTTATTCCTCAAAAATAGCGGATTGTTTAGACAGCGCATGACAACTGAAAACGAAATTTCGATTTGTTCATCAGGCCAACATGTTGTCTAATGTGGACTATTAAGCGGGTGACACATGAGTGATGCGAATGGGCACTGAGTGGCAGTTTTCATAGCAACTTGCGCTTATGCCGTAACGTGGACCTATTCCGTGCTGCCAGGCAACAGCGTCCGCGCAAGTTGCTCAGTGGATTTCTGCGTGGTGCCCGTTTTCTTAGCTCGTGTGCGCCCTGCTTTAGCCCCGTTGAGTGCGCTTCTTACTGAGCACCAGTGTACTGTGAAGAAGCAACACCCCCGGAAATACGCTTTGTGCACGTTGTCTCTCTGCAGTGCACCCGTGCTCGGAAGTAAGAGCACTCAACGGGGCTGCGAGAATAAAAAGCATGAATTGAACGAAAACAACGTCCCAATTAATTGCTCATGAATACATTAAAAAACATTTCAGGACAACTATAATTTTAAAATTTGTTTAAATTAACCGTATGTACGAAATAGGTAGGTTTGAATTATCGCGAGACTGCTGAATCTCAAAAGATTGAGGTGGCTTTTCCGCCCTATCTTTGCAAGATAAACGTTGTAAAAAATTAGGAACTGCAAACTCTTTCGAAATCAAAATTATTGCATAGCCCATTTAACGTCACAGCAATATTTGGAAACAAAACAAGTCGCGAATGTTTCGGAAGCGCCTTATATTAATACTTTCGGGGACCGCTGCATTGGAAACCCATCAGTCATTCTGCTAGAATCACAAACCTTGAGTTTATATAGGAATATGAAGCGAAGACATATTAGTTAGATGCTGTTGTGTGGCGTATGCCACACCCTGGCATAGCGTAACTTTCAGTACATTATCTTCTTCCTTTTGAGTATAAATCCTGTTTCCAGTCAGCGCTTGCGTGTCGTGCAGGTTTCTTTCATCTGTCCTTGTCATCAAATTCAAACGATCCAAGTTCAAGGGGCGAGAAGCGATATATCTTTGTCGTTTTGTGCGCTGTACTGTTCACTTGCCTTAATCGATTGAAATAAAAAAAAAACTTTGTAACATCATTATCCAAAAACGGAACCGCGCACCCCGTCACCAACCTGAAACGTGGTGATTGATGTAGACGTGAGAAGCTGCAGCACCGCGAATTCGACCAGTGTCTTCACCAGGGACGTCACCACACTAGACAAAACCAGGCCGAAGAGGGTTAGGCCGAGGGCTGCTCTGCGCCAGGACTTGTCGGCCGCTGAGCCCATGATGGGCAGGCGCACCGATCCGCCAAGTGAGTATACGAACCGGAGCGCCCGGAGCAGCCACTTCCTGTCGCAGACAAGGCTGAAATCCCTCACAATGGTGGCGCCAACCTCGCTGTCGTAGTCCCAGCAGTCGCAGCTGACCTCGGACTTGTTGTCCGCGGGCGTTGGCATTGGCGGTTCGTAGCGGGTGCAGCTGCTGAATTGTCCGTCGACGTCCTTGGGGATGCTCGTGTTCTTCCACTCGTCCACGGACAAGCCGGCATACTCGTCGGGGGGCTTGCACCAATGGGCCACAGTAGGCGACATGACGAGGAGCGTCTGGCTGTGGACTACATTCATAAAGAACGAGACGATAGAGCAGAGCAGCGCCATCCTCTGGAACTGGCCATAGCCGTAGACGTGGATGTCCTCTTCAGTGGAAGGAGCTTTTGGCAACTTGCTGCGGATGTTGGCCAACTCGGTGTTTGGGTTGGCAAGCTTGAGGGCCTTCAGGCTCGACATTTGTTTGGGAGAGGAACTTCAGCGGCTTTAACGCAACCGTCTTTTTCGGCAAGTCTTCGTAGATTGCAGCCGATGGAACGGGTAGGTCGTCGAGACAGCTGAGACACGAAGAACGAGCTCTCTCGTGCGCTCGTGCAAACCTCCCTGGGTTTTCTTTCATCGCCGATGATAATATTGAACTTGAAGTATGACGTCCACATGCTATTTGCCTTTTTTTTCATATATTAAATGCGTTTCGTGGATCATAATTAGTGCATTAAAATGACACCAGCGGTGACAGCAAACGGTTTAAAGTCCGAACATTTCTAGTGATCCTGAGCCACATAAACACCTCAACCAAAAACAACCCACAAAAGAAGAAAAAAAAAATCCCTTACGCTGCAGGATTTTGATTGTTTAGCCATCCTGGTGAGTAAAATTGTTGTTTTCTAAGTTATTTGAACACTTATTTGAAATCTGAGGAACACGGTTTTACGTTCCTCATGAATTCCATTTCGCCACCCGACGCTGCTTTTGCTCACATGCGTTTCGGATCAATAGCGCGGAGAAGAATTTCATTTTCTGAAAAACAGCGCGAATACCACACGGACAAGAAGGAGGAACACACAAGACGAGGCGCTGACTATCAACTGTCTATTCAGAACACATACATAGAAATTCACGCGAGGTCGGCTTCTTCTTTTTCCTCTTCCAGACATTCGCCATTAAGCACGCAAGATTGTAAATCATATCAAATTAAAACACACGAGTACATTAAAACACACCAGCACAGGTATAAGTCATCGCGTCTTCCTCTTTTCTTCTGTCTTGGATCTTCAATCTCGATCTTCAATTCTCAGGTCAACCCATGTTCAAAAAAATTACCTCACTGTCTACTATGCTAATGGATGGTTGGCTCACGCACCCGGGTTTTCGTTTCGCTATATGATAAGCTTCTACTAGCTCCCTCGATAGTTGATCTTTGTGTTTAAACAGCACTTTTGTGTCACTAAATTTCGGCTCACATCCACAATCACGGCAGTGGACAGCTAAATGGGAGTATGCGTTACCTTTTAATGAACGTGTTCGCGTAGACGAATGTTGAGGCAACGTCCCGTCTGACCTATATATGAGTGACCGCATGAGAAAGGTATTTCATAAACGGTCCCCTGTGCACAGGACATGAACTTCATGCCATGGTTGACGCGACATCCAAACAGTTCTGGCTTACTTTTCCTGTCAGCACGCTTGTTAACCACGTTTATAATTTTGCTCTGTTTGTTACGCGCTGAAAAAATTACGTTGACCCCATACCTCGAACCGACTCCCTTTAACCCGTGTGAAAGACGATGAATGTAAGGAATAACGGCGACATTCTTTTTGTCTATCTTGGCTTTTTCTTTTTCAGGTTTACTGGAATCAATCTTGATATACCGAGTCACCTTATCGCAGGCTGAAGTAATAATTGAGTCGGGAAAATTAGATTCTCTGAGTCTAGCGACCTGTACTGAGAAGCTTTCTTTCATCTTATGAAAACAGGTTTTTGTCAACGCTGACTGTAAGCAGGAATACGCAATACCGTTTTTTACGAGCTTTGAGTGTGCTGAACGATAGTCTAGTTGTTTCTTCGTGGATCTGGGGTGGTGCATCCAACATACATGATCTTCTTTCACGTCAACTAGGATGTCTAAAACTGGATTTTGTGCTCCTTAGGAGTCTCGGAAGTGAAGTGGAGTCCTAACCCTTCCTCCGCGAACGTCTTTAACACTTCACTCATTGTTCTACTAAAATTGTTTTTTTCTACGGAAACCAGGTAATCATCTACATATCTGACAACCTTTTTGGTGATGTTCGCCAGCCTGTGCTCAAGGGCCCTATCAACTTTACCTAGAAAAATACTGCTCAGCATAGGGGCCACTCTTGAACCTATACATACATCTGACTTTTGTACATAAACGTTGTCCTGCCAATCGATAAACGTGGATTTTAGATACATGGACAAAAGCTCTAGGAACCCTTCAACTGAGACCCCACTTTTGGTCCTAAACCTCGTTTCATCGTTACGTTCAAAAATACATTATTTTACGCTCTTCATGAGCTCATGATGGGGCATAGAGTAATATAACTATTCCACATCTATGCTAAATGCGCTACATTTTTCTGGGTTGTTGTCTTTTAAGAATTTTATAACAGACATCGAGTTTGGAATGTTAAAAGGGTCATCAATCTGCAGTGAGTTGAGGTGGACTTGCAGATATCCTGAAACTGCCCTGAGCCAGGAATCTCGCTCCGACACTACTGTGCGGAATGGTATTTCTGGTTTATGCGTCTTTGCGGTAAAAGATACCTCTAACATAAGTTTTTTCTCTTTCTTGGCTTCAGCTAAGACCCTTTCCAGGTTTAAGCTACTTAGAAGCTGCAAGGCTTTAGCTTTAACCTTTTGTGGCTGTTCCTTGACCTGCCTAAAGTTCTTTTGTACAGCTGCGTTAGCCTTCGCATCAAAATTACCTTCCGGCAGAATAACAAAAAAGCCCTCTTTGTCGGACAACAGAATACGTAACCCATTATTTGTCAGATAACCGATAACAGGCTCTAAATTTCTGCTTCTAGGGGGCTTCCCTTCGTTTTTTGACAACATTCCCACGCACTCCCCGATGCATCTAGGCCTTTGTTCCTCCGCGACCCGCCGTGACACAGACCGTGATAAAACCAGTTTATCTACCCGGTCCAACCCTGGCTCAAAGCAAAACTTCGGTCCTTTTTTTAAGAGATCTTGGCGTACCTCTGGAACCGACTGCTCTCCAAGGATCAATATCTTGCCTTCTTTACATGGCGTCTTCTTCTTGGGAGGTAGCGTGAGGCGGACTGTATGCCAAAGGAACTCCGTGGTCTGGACGGAGATCTTAGTCCATTCTTGATACAGGCGGAAATCTCGAGGATGCCGTGCGTTGTTGGTACATGCCACCCGAAGACAGTCTTTGAAGAAGCAAACTTGATGCCACCACTCGGATCTTAAAATTCGGCACATTCTCCTCGAATGACCCGGCGACGGAACCAACCAACCGGAGACAGCTTGTAATTCTGGTGGGCACATAGACATTTTTGCGTACCACGATGCCGCCCTGGCCTTGCACACGTAAACGGCGATTAAAGCAGATAGCCATGAAGGGTCCGAAAGAAGGTGAGAAGAACATAGAAAAGAGCCCTTTGTAGTAGAAATGAAGCTTACTAGAATGGAAAGTTGGGCGAGTTGGTATGAATTCATTTTGAAAAACAGCGCGAATACCACACGGACAAGAAGGAGGAACACGCAGGACGAGGCGCTGACTATCAACTGTCTATTCAGAACACATACATAGAAATTCACGCGAGGTCGGCTTCTTCTTTCCATTCTTCCCAACTTTCCATTCTAGTAAGCTTCATTTTCTGACTTCAACAACTGACCCCGTAAGTGATGATGTCACAACATGGAACGGTGTTTGAAACAATCCTTTTCTGCGGACTTTGTTAAACATTTCACTGCCGTTTTTTTTTTCTTTTTTTTTTCGCAGTGTCCGGCGTAAACGAACTTTCACACCTCGAACCCACTGGACGCCGGTCTAATGCCATTGCAGATTCTTCAAGATTAGAGAGTTTTAGCAGATCGTTCCGATACCTCCGATAGCCCCGATAACGATACTATGCATGCACAACAGAGGCGGTGGCGGAGTATCGGGTATCGTTATCGGAGTCATGGGAACGATCTACTAAAACTTTCTATTATGGCTCAAAGGTGTGCTCTCGGGGGTTGAATTCTCTCTTCTGCCAACAGAAAATCCGCTCTTCAAGTTTTTTCTTCTTCCTCTGATTCTTAGGCGGCTGAGGATCTTCCTTACTGTCGTCGCTGGACAAGTCGCTTAGCTGAGCTGCATTATTGTTATCACTTTCATCTGAGTCTTAATTCATCAACAGTTCCTGAGTTTCCTCGTCCGTCAAAGCGCGGACGCAAGTGACAAGCTGACTCGCCATCGGTGGCCGAGGGGGCTGAAGCGCACACCCAGCTCGACGCGCGTGGAGCGAAAGCTCGCGCTGCAGAACCCAGGGATCCTGGGTTCGAGCCCCACCCCTGCCCGTTTCGATCTGGATGAGCATCGTACCGGCATGCGGTCGTGTATCACTACTGCGTGGTGCACGTTAAAGACCCCAGGCTAGCGGTTGTACTGCACTGCAAAATTGCTCATCTACAGTGTAAACCAGTGTCGCCCCTACTGGCAGACCAACCTTAGGCTGTATAAATCACTAAAACGTCCAATTTGACTTTGATTTTGACTCGCCATGCCTGCGCTGCCGAGACATCGACGTAGCAACGCGGAGGCCTAGAGTTCCTGTATAGGCTATTGGCAATGTGAGCGATCGAAAGCGTCGCTGCGGTCGGCCCACCACAATTGGCCGAATGCGGATTAGGAGGTCAGCAAAGGATATCAAATCGACGCAAATAAGAGGAATGTAAGAACTTCAATTTTGACGGTGTGGGCAGTGTTGCTGTGAGAGCACTATGATTTCAGCCTTCCACCATGCCCATTACAAACACCGCCGAACTTGTTGTTCACAAGGTAATGACGTCACGAAAAGTAACCAAACGAGGGCGCCACCGAAACATCTCGCTGCTAATACAGGAACTCTACTAAGGCCGAAACACGCACTGACATTGAGGAGAAATTTTAAAAGCGATATGGCAGGTCATTGGGATATATCAGGCGCTTGTTCAGGGTGACTTCGAACTACTCTCAAAATCTGTGTAACCAAGAATAGGGTTGAAATTACCGATCACTAAGAAGCCGAAGGAACACCGTTCCCATGATTCTTTCAGCGCGGGCCGGGGCACTTGGTGGATATAGCAGAAGGTCGATTCAAGTACAAACTCTGCTAATTGTGTTACACACAAGTACCCCAGGCCAAGGCCGTGTTGCGACGAATGCAGTATTCCCGAGGCATTTGCATGATGGATTATGCATGTATGTAACACGTGCTCAATTTCCTTA